GCGTACATTTGGGTTGTTGTCTATAATTTAGTATTCCTGTGTATACAAGCAAGCCTACAATTTGCTCTCCTCGTTTTTTAATAAAGAAAGAGGGTGATAGGTAATGAATTGATATAAGTATAAGGTCTTTTCATGCATAAGATGGCTCTTGTTCTTTAGGAATTAAATTTCTTTGAAGTTGCTTTGTAATTTTAGCTTGGTCAAACAAGGTGTTTCGAGGCATATTTGGTAGGTTAACAAGATGAAAAATCATACTTTACATTGTCATTTCCAATCATGGATATGGGCGTTTTTCCATAGTAGACAAAGAAAATGTATCAAGATTGCCTAAACTTTTAGAAAACGGTAATTTGTGTGTACCTGCACTCTTCTTTAAAATAATGCCAAATTAAATATAGGTATCTTGATGGATTATTACGTCATTTCAAGTTGAATTCCCTGAAAATACTCGTACATGTACTTCATTTTCTACCCCATTCTATTAGAGTGTAAAGTACGGGGAAAAAAATAAAGGTGATTGTGATGTCATGATAGATCACCAGAAATTAATTCTAAAGACATTTCCTAGATCTTGTTCTTAATGATGATGACTACTCGTGATTTTTTTTTTAAACGGAAAACTTTGAGGAAGAAACTAGTTGATCAGAATTCGTTTCAAATGGACAAATTAATTATCCGTATTTTTTTTTTTATTTTCTTTATGCAAGTTAATCAAATAGTATGCTGTCTCATACACATATTAATCCCCCTCAAAATTCATTCTACAATTCACAATGTGTTTGTCCATGGTATTTTTCTTACATACACAATGTTATTTATTTCTATGTATGCAAGATCAACAATTTTTCGAAAAGCTTGTTTTTTTTTAAAAAAACTTTTGATCAACAAAACAAACACAGAAATAAAAAAAAAAATCTATTTTTATTCGAACACAATTGCCAATTTTCATAAATATTGAAAATTTAAATTTGTGAAAGTGCAAGGATGTATAAATCAAACCCATCCAAAACTTTGCAGTTTCAATAATTTGTAGATGAATTAAAATTTTTAAAGATATTTTTGTGTTTAATGCTATTAGAACATACATGTATAAGTCGTGATACATGTATTATATAGAAAAAAGTTAACTCCATATTTTTGTCTATGTACCTTTAAGTATATATGTAATTTTACGTATTACACGTGCATGCGTGAACATGCTGACATTTCCATCGCATGTAAGTAAAATAACTGACGTAGATGGCGCATGTTCATCAAAAACGAAGTGCACAACTAAACATGGTATGATGAAAAGTAACCTTAAAGTCAAGAAATATTACAGCAAAATTGAGATGTTTACTTCCCTTCTTTTTTGAGTTAGTAAGATGGGTTTATTCTTACTTACATGAAGTTTAAATTATGTAAAGGGCTATGAAAACATTATATGTAACTCTTTTATTAAATGATAGGACAAAATATATGCGTACATATAATTGTATTAATGTTCCCCTTACATGTATCAAGACACATTCAGCTTAAATCACAACATAGAATGTTGAAACTGTCAATAATGGAATGCAATGAGAAATACTTTTTTTTGTATATATTCAAAATATGAATCCAAAGTTAACTGCTTAGTTGAAACAAAATTTGTCACTACGCATACATGGATAAAGCACTTTAAAATAAAATCATGTTTTGTAATATGTACATAGCATTGCAGTTTTGGGTTATTCTAAAAAAAAAAAAAAAAAAATATTAATAATAAATAAATAAATACATGTAAATGTATAAAATTGTTGCTGATTGTATTTCCTGTAAAAAAAAAAATTAGTTGATATAGTATAAGTTTAAACAAAATGAAATGTTTTGCGACACTCAAGTAGAACTCATCTCTTTCATGCAGCTTTTATAGTGCAATCCATTTGTAAAATCTCTGAGTTATCATTGTCACCTCTCCGCCAAACAGCGCAAAGACTGAGTCAGATATTGCTAATAAAAACATACATGCAACATTTTATATCTATTGAAAATGCTTTAAATTAATTTGAAGCATTTTTCCATAGATATAAAATTTTGCATGTTTTTTTTTTATTATTATTATTTGGCATATCTGACTCAGTGTAGTCTTTCCGCTGTTAGGCGGAGAGGTGACAATAATCTAAATCTACAAGGTTAGCAAGGTTAGCAAGGATTGCTCACGCCTCCACGGTACCTGATCTCATCACTGATGTTTTGGAGGTCTGCGTTTGCTCTGCTTCTTTTTTGTTTCGTTTGATGAATTTTTGATCTTGAAATGTGCTCTTTATCTCGGTATGTTTCATTCATATAAAAAAGTAAACATGAAGACTTTCAAAAGAAAAATCTACAACTCTTTTTCACAAATAAATGGTATTTTTGAGAAACAGGTCGTATCATCCCACAAGCCTTCATGAACAATCGTAACACAGTCCTGTTCTGGTACATGGGTAGATGGCTCACTAGGATGCCAATGTGAAAACGCTATCTTTTCTTTCGATTTACTCCAGATAAATACACCCTCTGTGTCAATGTCGTTAGCTCCGATCCACACAGGACAGGCGTATTCTCCAATACAGGGTCCTAGAATTTGAAGCCAATAAAGAATTAATCATATCCTTAAATCGTTTGAAGCATAGTGCTTGTGTCGATTTTACAATTTTTTAACCATAACACTATAATATTAGAAGTACATACTACTATTCTTTTTGATGAGGGCGCCATAGACGTATCTTTTCTAAAAAGGCATCATGTTACAGAAAAGAACAAATCATGCTATCTTTGACTGTAACAATAAACGACATTCTAGATACCATGGTATTAACTTCAATATTATAAAATCGTTGAATAATTAATAGGTATGTCCTTCTTCATAAGTGCAAGATCATATCAAGATATTTACCGAACATATAACTTATTACTAGATTTTATATCTCTTTAAATGTACCTTTTAAAGAAAAAATAAAAATAAAACCTATATGTAAATCAAAAGTAAATATCCTGGCAAAAATAATAATTACCGGGGTTTGTATACAAATACACATTTTGTGAGCAATGCTAATAAAACATAACTTACTGGTGTCATGTTTCTGTACATAGGTACTTTGAAGAAAATCATTTTCCTTTGCTGCGTTCACTTCTACCAAAAAAGCGTTTTCCCTTTCACAGTTTTCCTGATATATAAAAAAAAAATCAATGATGCAGTAGTTACATTATATGATATAGTTGGCTAGGTATACGGATACCCGATGGGCGTGGTCATAATGACACAGGGGAGCGTTGCTTCCGACCTCTTAGTATTAACACGCCCATGGTTTATTTGTACATAAACAACTTTATTATATTGGGTACGGGACTTGTTCTGTTAAATTAAATATGTTTCCATCAAAAAAGGCTAAAAAAAATTAAGGAGGAGTAGAGGATTAGATGATTTGATAAATGCACATTCCGAAAGAATTTCAGAATTATACATTTTTATTTATATTTACATTTGCGAAAAAATTAGCAATTATATTTGTATTGTTATACATAATTTATAACATATAAACTATTTACTGTTGAAAAACTGGTTACTTCTTCAATAATCTACATAATACATAGAGAATAATTTGAACATTTCGATACCTTTGCATCATTCCAGGAGGTTGCTGTTTTATTGAAAAGATAACAATGGCCTTCGAATTGTAGCCAACCACCAGGGCAAACTGAAAAAAAAATGTTCTTAAATGGATTGATTGATTGGTTGCATATTGTTTAACGTCCCTCTGTCGAGAATTTTTCACTCATATGGAGAAGTCACCGTATGCCGGTGAAGGACCTTTACTCGAGGTCATGGAACAGTGAGGGATCTTTATCGTGCAAACGCCTGCTGCTGACACGGGGCTTCGGTATTTAAGGTCTCATCAGAAGGACCCGCAATTTTTACTTCAAAGTTCCGACCGCATGGCGAAGGATCAGTTGCTACCCATTTTATCGACTAGGTCAGTCGCAGCCGAAATACGAACTCACGACCTCCCAATCAGATGGAGCGAGCGCTCTACCGACTGAACTACCTTGAACGGTTTCTTAAAGGGAAAAAACTATCCAAAACGAAACGTAAAATTAAATCAAAATTACTTTTAACGAAACCATGTTTTCCATTATTTTTTTGTTACAAAAAGAAAAAAAAATAAACAAAAAACAGCTGATTTAAATTAGACGTTGAGTAACACATGCTGACTTATAGTTTCTTCACTGATTGGAGTTAATTTATTTTAATTGTAATTATTGCTTTTGGGACAAAGTTTAACTCTTTGAATACAAATGAGGTATATTTTACAATTCAGGATAAATCTACTGGACACACAATGGTAATTTAAGATGTTAGTTAAGGATGACATTGGCATGACATACACAGACTGATAATAGGTCATTGGTATATATAATTTAATAATAAGATGCCTGCCTGTAAGGATTAAGTTCGTGAATTGCGTTTTTTTTTACTTTCACAATTAAAAGGTATTAAAAAATAACTGTACATGTGCTATATGTTACTGACAAACATTTATCTAATGCAATGGTCCAAATAATAAAGTATTCAGTTATCATTTAATTGCATTTATCAAACATTTAAGAGGTCAAGTGCTGTAGAAACATGTATTGATTACTTTGAGTTCGGCCACTGATGGTTCATACTGAATGTCAATTGATGTTGTTGAAAATTATAGCTGCTTAGACGTATATTTACTTGCATTCAATAAAAAAGTCAATAAATACATAAAATCTTTTAGCCTAAACAACAAACTCATTAAGTAAATTTTATAAACTAATTATCAGGTAAGTTTATTTGTTTTAAAAGGTCTAATTCAAATCTATTTGAAATTGAAGGATCTTAAAATTTAAATAAATCTCTCATTGAGCAATGGCTCTGAATGCCGAGTACAGGATTAAATTTGCAGTCCTTCATCGGCAAGTTTTGGCGTCTCCATATATGTAAACTTTTCTATGGACGTTAAGCTACAAAGAAAACTAAAAAAAAACTAAAATTAGTGCAGGTAACTTACCATCAACTTTGTACCAGTATTCCCAAGAAGATGACCTAGGCTGTCCGTCTAACACTTTTCCATTAAAACTAGATTTCATAAGATAACAACGGGAACGCGTTTCGCTGTAAACAAGTCCTACACATGTGGACCTAAGCTGAGGACATTGCAAGGCACATTCTGCTCGACTCCTGTTTTTGATAGATTTTAAGTAGAA